AAGACCTGACCTCGTGGTGACCTGTCTCTTTCTACCTACACCAACCAGCCAGCAACACCACCTCCTCCGCCGCTGCCTGGCGGCCCTCGCTCCCGCCGGCGAGCAAGGCGACCCACAAGCTGTCCTTCTCTGAGCACCCTCACCAACCAGCTCTCTCTACATCACGCTTGTAACCACGCTGCCACTTCCCAGCACCAAGCTGCATTGTACATCCAATACAACATGTATAGAGAGCACATTGTGAGTTTCCTTTCTCCATCGCATCCTGAGTGAAACACACATCTCATACCCCACAAGATCACTGAGGTGAGGCGAGGCCCTGAGGGCAGGAAATAGGAGGGTGCAGATATGCGGGGTGGGGCCACATCACATTGTATATAAACAAACTGCCTTGTTGGTGATGAACATTACCACTCTATTTCCACTGAGGAGGGTGACCGACTGACAGTAATTGTCGAATTTGTCGCCGAAACTACCCAGAAGAAATATTTAGTCTGTCACAGTGCCACTGTGGGGTTTTTCTACTTGCTAAGTGAGTTATGTTTAGAGAGAACATGCGAGTATTTTTTTAACTGTAGGAGTAATATTACAATCGATGTTTGTTATGTGGTACACCCGCCCTTTGTGACTATGTGAGCAATAATACAGTTTGAGATATGTTCAAGTGTATCAACACTCCAATGAATCATGATTAGTGGAATAAGAGCGTTGCCATTATACCGCCATATGCTGATTATTTTAGGCTGGCGTCATAAGAGACATCATTTCACATTTGTCAATCAAATTGGTGTAATAATGCCAAAAACTGCATCTTGCAAGTTGTACATAGGATTGGTTTTGCCCCCAACATTTACCTTGGCCCCAAAGTAGCCCCCCACTTTCCGAAGGCTAGAAACGCTGTAGGGGAGGAATCCACTACAAGGTCCGTTGGCAATGCGTTTTTAAGGCGTCCCGCAGGGTAGCGAATTTGTTGTTCTCTGGAGGGTTGGAAATAGTCCGTGATACATGCAAGGCGACTTCCGTGGGCAAGAAACAGCAGGGCGCTGTACTTTTGCTCGTCAGTAGCTTGAGAGACGATGAGGATTGCTTCCACATGATCTAACCAGTCCTCGACGTTGTGGTTGAAAGTCGGTAGAGATATCTGTCCGTCCATTCTTGTGGAAGTGTGTCACACGGTCGTGAGATGGTGTCATAGTGTGGTAGCACGTGGTGTGGGTAAGGCGGTTGGCCTAGGCTGGCAGCAGGCAGGACGATCTTCTCAGCTCCAGGAGTAAGGCAGCAGAAAGGAGTGTGGTGTTCACAGCTCCAGGGGTCACCAATTGTAGGTTTACATGAGATGTTTCTCCTCCATCCTGTGGAGTGCGAATCTCCGGGGGTCACCATTTGTGGGGTACGTGATACAGGGTATTTGGTTCACACTCAGGATGGGATGGACAAAGGAAACTCACAATGTGCTCTCTGTATACATATTATATTGGATGTACAATGCAGCTTGGTGCTGGGAGGAGGCAGCGTGGTTACAAGCGTGAGTAGGGAGAGCTGGTTGGTGAGGGTGCTCAGAGGTGTTGCTTCCTGTAGCTAGAAGAAGGGGCAGGTCACGGCCAGGTGTGGTCTTATATAGCGGGGGTAGGCGTGGCTTGATGGTAGGCCCCCGCTTTGTTCGGCGTTGTTGGTTACCTGACCTTGACCACGAGGGATACGCTGGTAGATTCGTGAGGGGTCGGCCAGTTAGCGACACACGGCGTTTGTAGGGGAGGAATCCACTACAACATCACTGCATGCACTGGCTCCTGAATGTACCTGAACCTGCTCTACTGTTGGACTGTTGGTCAAGTCTTGTCTTGAAAGAGCTTGCACTCGGTGCAGTCACAACACTTTCTGGTAGATTGTTCCAAGAGTTCACAACTCACTCCCAAAAAGTTTGCCCTCACAGTTTTCTGGACTTGCGGCTTCTTCAATCTTGAGCTGTGACTCCTTGTGGGGCGAGCGTCCGCCAGCTCTATGTAAGGACACTCGACTGAGTAGTGCCCCTTGTGATGCTTATACACCTCAATTAGGTCACATCTTGCCTGTCTGTAGTATAAGCTAGGCAATGTAAATATACTGTTTTAACCCAAACATTTCTCTGGTAGGGAGGGAGGGACCCAGCAAGTGTGGGAAGAGGTGGGGAGCCGGAGGTGGGGTATTTTGATTGACAGATAGTGTCTGAGTGAAGTATATTATTTTTTAATTACTTAAGATATTTGTTTTAGCTCATAAAATTCATACAAATCACCCGGCCAGAATATAATTTACATTGCTGGAATTCTTACAATATGATGATCATTTTGAATATACTGTAAACATCATGGATTTTGCATTAGACATACAAATTTTAGATCTTATGTAAAAATTTTGTTTACACAGAGCAAATATGTTATCTTTTGTGCAAAATATATGACGTGTATATTCAAAATATTCCTGGTCTTGCAAGGAATCCAGCAATGTCAATTATATTATCCTAACTTTAGTCTGAGGTATTATTTATTACCATACCTTAAAATCTAGCGTTTCACCCAAACATTTCTCAGAGAGGGAGGAGCCAGCGAACATGGAAAGAGGAGGGGGGGGAGTGAGTGGAGTCCATTATTTGAATGGACATTAACCTGGCGACTGTATTTCTCTTAAATATTAATTGTGTGCATACCATCATAAAATTAAGATGTTATTTTTACTACAACATAGGTATTGTGTCGGAAAAAGTGGAGTTTGGGAGTCGGCCCAGTCTCTATTTCAATTAACCCCATTTGTTCTGTTATTCCATTTACGCGTTTCTCGTTTTATGCGGACCTCCGCGGGTTCAATTGACTGCGCAAATCGGTATATATATATATATATAATTTTATTTTTTTTGACCTACCTACCTACCTATATTAATGTATGTCTGTATACAATTGGGGAGGTAGAAATTTGGTTAAATTCAATAGCAACAAAACACAGTATTTACCAATTACACTTTCCAAAATAGAAGATCTCCCACCAATCACATTTCAGGACAATCATTCTGCAAAATTCTAAAATAGATATGCTAGGCCTCAGCATTTCCTCTAATATGTCATGGAAACCACACATCCACAACATTGCTAAAGCTGCTTACCAAAAGTTGGGAATGCTGTACAGATGCCATAGCTACTTCACTCCTGAGCAGTTGCTTCAAGTTTATAAAGGATTTATCCATCCTAACTTGGAGTACTGCTCTCATATCCGGGGTGACTCTTCTTCCGTCCAATTGTTAGATAGGGTGGAATCAAAGGCATTTTGTCTTATTAATTCTCCTCCTTTAGTTGATAAACTTTTTTCCCTTTCTCTTCGCCGCAATGTTGCTTCACTCTCTCTCTTTTACAGTTACTTTAACGGGCAGTGTTCGGTTTTTTTGGCATCCTGTGTACCGCCAGCAAGGCCGTGGGCTCGTAACACTCGTCTTGCCCGCGGTGCCCACTGTTTCTCTGTGGATGTCGGTTACAACAGAATAACCAGTTACAGTGTCAACAGTGACAAAAGAATTAAGCTGTTAACATCACAGAGTAATTAATATTCATTAAATTATATGGTCAGCCACTTTCAATTTGGAATCCCACCCAGTATGCAAATAGTTCGTCACAGATCAGCATGAATACTCAAACATGTGTCCTTGAAAATAAAAGAGATGACATACAACCCTAATGGTAGTCCATATACCTATAACTCATCATGTGCCTTACTTTAACCTATAATTATCTTGTTTCTTTGCCATAAGTCATGGAATGTATCTTTGTAAATTGCAATCCAATACAGTAGTACTACGTATGTCCATTTACTTATATTTTGGCATGTATTTAGGAAAGGTTTCTCCAGAGGTGAATGATGCTATAACAAACACAAATCCCAACATTATAATTACTGCTCTGGCAAACTAGAAAATATCTAACCTGTGACATTTTTTTGTGGACCAAAATTAAAAACATAGTTAAGATGTTGTAAGATACTGTACAAGGTTCTGCAAAAGTTTTATAAATATCTGCTAAAAATTATATTTGTGGGTTAAAGATTTTACTGCAATATTATTATACTGTAGTATAGTACAGCACCCCCTTAAAATTCGCTAGGGGTTTGGGTCTCAAAATGGCCACGAATATCATTTACTGACTGGGGTGGGGGTTACATTTTTACTAGTGTGCAAAGAAATGGGTATCCCTTATCCGAAATGCTCTGAAATCCGAAAGTCTACTTCATTACCGTATATTTATGGAAGATATTACACTGAATATGGTATACAGTATATCATAATTTTAAGTAGGGTAAGTATGCATGTGTAATGAATAAAGGTAAGACACGGGCTGCTTAGCGCCTCACAGTCAAGCGCCATGGCAATGCCAAACAGACAGTAGCGATTACTTACCATTCTGGGTCTTTAGTGTATATCTTATCATATATTAATACCCAAAATTATTAAATTATATTTCATAAAACTACTTTTTTTTTTTTACAGGCATTAGCCCACCCAGGCACAGGTAATTTTTAATGACCCACATGAAGGCCTGTAAATGAAATATAAATGAATTTTATGCATTGACTTGGGCCCCATCCCAAATCAGAGACCCTTAAGGCCCCAAGCATTTCAGATTAAAGATACCCAACCTGTATCCCCTTTATGTGTTCCGCCGATAATCGAGGACCACGAATGGTCAGGGCAAGCTGTATGTGGTAACATTGCAATATGTAGTTACTAACACCATGTTATATGCTGTAATCCAGATGATGATGTTATACTGTAATAAACTGCATAATAATTCCTTGAGATAATGTCAATGTTATTATTCACTTTGAATCTGTTTTTTCTGGGTAAATAAACTTTCAATGCATCCACTGATATGAGAGTGACATCACACACACAGGTAACCTCTACTATAGGAGGTGCAGAAGGTTGTACAGAAACATGTTTATACTATTATAATCCCAAGGTTAAAACCAAACAAAATATATATTTTTTTTACTTTATTTATTAAACTGATATATTCGTGGTGTATCAACAGTAATAAAACAACCTTCTAGATATCCTTTACCTTAAAAAAAATAAGTACAGGGAACTACTAATTTTGTATTTGACCTTATAAAATTTCAGATTCCAGTTATAACAAATACTTCAGATAAATTTGAGACCACAAAGTGCTTTAGGAGTGACAGACGGTTGATCAAATTTTCCCTGGTTATTCCCAACTGAAGATTCTGTTATAGATTATAGTTTCTCCATTTTGCAAATTAATCTATTGAATTGTTGTTGACTCACGTCATTTAAATTTTTTAACATATAATAAGAAAACAGTGTATACACTTTCAAGAATATAACAATTCTAACCATTAATATTTCAATACAGTACCTCAAGCACTGAACATAATTTTCCATTTTTGTACAACATAATTATGACTGGTTTAAAGTAGCATTTCAGTCACTGGAGTTTCTTTGATTAGCATACTGTACTATACATTACACTGGCTATTTTATAGTAAGAGAACCAACAACTTGAGTAACCTGAGGCTGGTGTAAAATGGTGTTGAACCAACGATTCAGGCAAGGTAATTTTTTCATAGCAGCAGCGCCCAACCCATTCTGAAAAGCAGGTATCAGCGAAGCAAACACACTGATATCAGCGAGTGACACCCTCTCCCCGACTAAGAAGGTGTGATCCCGAAGGTAAACGTTAAGTTTCTGCAGCTCGTTCATGGCTGCTTCACCAGCACCGGCTTTTTTTGTCTTAGTCGGAGAAATCATTCCTGAGCACACAAGAGGCAGCAATAGTGAGTCGGCAGTTGACATCCAACTTAATACTTGCCCTTGGTCAACATAACTAGACCCCTTAAGGGCATCTGGTGCAAGATACCAAGCTGGAGCTATACTCCCTACCATGGAGCCATGCGGAGTTTCTAAGGCAGGCACTACACTGGAGCCAAACTGAGAAATATAATTTTCAGTGATATTTGAAGCTCCAGCCTTGAAATTCTCAGAAACTGTGACTCCCTTCCCAGAATATTCAGCAGCTATTAGACTTGGAAATGCACGAATGTTGTTGGGGTAAGTGTGAAGCACAACTCCATCTGTCACTGCCTCACCAACTTGTTTTTGTACAGTTTTCTTCAAATCTTTTTCCTCCTTATCCTTAGTTTCCTTGAATTGACTAAAAACAGAAGCAAGTGCTTGGGGAGCAGCTAGCAGGACTGGTTCACAACCTAATTTCTCTTGTGCGAATTTCTCTGAAACCACTAGAGCCTCCTTCAGAGCTTTTACATTGGTACCGCTGATCTGAGCTGACTCGGGTTTGCCACCACCTTTACCATTCAGGAGTGTAGTCATATTCTTAACCCATTCATCAGCTTTTAAACCTTTGGCAACAACATCTTTTGGAACAGAAGCCATGGCGAGAATTTTTCCGGTATCTTCATCGGTGCTAATGAACAGAGATGGAGGTCCATTTTTTACCTCCTTCAAAGCATCATTAATTACCTTATTCTGTGCAAAAGCTTTGATTTCAGTCACTAAGTAAGGGATGTTGGTGTTAGCTGCCAGCATATTCTTTGTAATTTGAATGGCTTCCTTTGATACTGCTGTTTTTCGTGCTCTGTCACTATCACCCTGAACTTTTTTGATGGCTTCAACTGTCTTACGCAACTCTTCCTTCTTCCAGTGCTGGATATGGGCATGGTTGATATCCGTTAACATTTCAGTGAGAAGACGAACAACTTCTTTGAATGGAAGACTATTTCCTTCTATCCTTTTCTTGAGCTTACTGACCTCATTCTCAAGGTGTGAAGCTTTGTTTAAGGCTTTAATGGCTTCTGTACCAGTTAAAGCAACAATGCGCCGGATCCCCTTTGCAATCGCTTCCTCACTGAGAATGACAAAGTCTCTTATGTGTCCAGTGCGGTGGAGATGTGTTCCTCCACAAAACTCAATGCTGGTCTTATTTCCAGCTGGACTTGCAGGGTCAGCCTCTAAAGTTTCAACTGGAATACCTACAGAAACCACTCTCACTGGGTCCGGGTACATTTCTCCAAAAATTGCACGCAGACCCTGGATATTTTTTGCCTGTGTGAGAGGTGCAGTTTTTGCATACACCAACTTATTTTCTTTAACCATTTCTCTGGCAATCTCTTCTGTTTTCTTCACTTGATCTACAGTCATGGCGCCTTTGTTAGAAAAATCAAATCGAAGTCTATCAGGAGCTACTAGGGAGCCCCGCTGGTCTGCCTCTGCAGTAAGGACTTGTCGTAAAGCAAAATTGAGAATGTGTGTGCCTGTGTGGTTATTCATGAGGTGTCTTCTGCGTTCTCCATCATAACTCAGGTTTACATCGTCCCCAACATTTAATGTACCTTCCACAACACCAATGTGGCAAACATAGCCACCCTTAACCTCTACTGACTCAACTTTAAATTCTGTCTCTTCATCGTTGATTTTGACCATAAACCCTTCATCATATATCTGACCACCACTCTCGGCATAAAAGCAGGTCTTGTCGAGAATGATGCCGCACCTATTACCAGATGTAACTCTGTCTACAAATTGGTTGTCGTATTTAATGGCAAAAATTTTTCCACAACAAAACTGAAATTCATATTTTGACTCTGGAGATTCTCCTGCTGAGTATTTGTATTTTAAATTGTCTTCAGTAAAAGGCACTTTCTTGTTCTTGAGGTCTTCAATGGCATGAACATCTAATCTAAAGGAATTATCCTTATCCTTATTCCCTCCTCTTGATTTTTCCTGAGCAGCTTTCTTACATTCTTCAAAGATTCCCATGTCAACAGTCAGGCCTCTTTCTTCTGCCATTAGCTGAGTAAGATCAACTGGGAATCCATAAGTATCGTATAGTCTCCAGGCCACGTCGCCCGGCACCACCTGAACACCACCCAGCTTACATATTGTGCGACCCAACAATTTCTGTCCCCTGTCTAACGTTTTCAGAAACTGTAGTTCTTCTTCATTGATCACATCTTTAATAAACTCTGGATCTTTAGAAACCTCCGGGAATGCATTCTGTAGTGACTCAACCACTACATCAACAAGATTGGCAAACATTCCGGGTTTCATTCCTAGCTTCTCTGAAGCGTAACGGATACCTCGCCTCAAAATCCTGCGTAGAACATAACCCCTTCCTACATTGTCGGGCATGCCACCATCAGACAAAGCTATCGTCAGAGTTCGGATATGATCGGCCAACACCCTATAAGCCATATCGATACCATCAACATCATCTTTCCCAACTTTACCAGAGTAAGGTCTATTACCTGATGATTTCTGGATAGCTTCAAAAATGGGTACAAAAAGATCAGTGTCATAATTAGAATTTTTGTGCTGAAGAATAGATACAAGGCGTTCCAGGCCCATGCCACAGTCAATGTGTCTTTTAGGTAGCGGCCTTAGTGATGCATCCGATTCCCTATTGAACTGCATGAACACCAGATTCCATATCTCTAATACATCAGGATCGTCCATGTTGACGAGATGAGGAACGTGGCGTCCACCGATACGGTCAAAGTGAATTTCAGAACACGGGCCACAAGGACCAGTGTCACCCATTTCCCAAAAGTTATCCTTCATATCTCCAGGCAATATACGATTCTCTTTCACACCTATGTCTAGCCAGATCTGTTTACACTCCAAATCTGGCTGAAGGCCCTGTTTTGGTTCACCACCAAAATATGTAACATACAGGCAGTCTTCAGGCAGCTTGTACCAGTTTACTAGGAGATCCCAAGCCCAAGAACATACCTCTTTCTTAAAGTAATCCCCAAAGGACCAGTTACCCAACATTTCAAAGAAAGTGTGGTGATAGACATCCTTGCCAACATCATCCAGGTCGTTGTGTTTTCCACCGGCACGGATGCACTTCTGAGAGTTGACAGCTCGCACGAGGCTGGCCATGTCACTGTTGGGATCCACACTGCCTACAAAGATAGGCTTAAACTGGTTCATGCCTGCATTAGCAAAGAGCAGGGTAGGGTCATCATGGGGAATGGTTGGGGAGCTGTGCTGATAAATGTGGTTGTGTTTCTTCTGGAAGTAGTCAAAGAACATTTGCCTCACTTCTGCACTCTTCATGTTGCCTGTCAACAAAAGATTGCAGTTAGTTTACAATAATAAATTTAACACTACATAGTCTGTAGTACAGTTGCCTCCAAATGAATGTACCACAGCCCAGGAGTGTGTGTGTGTATGGAGGCCTCGGGTTCTAGAACCAATTAGATTCGTTATAGCATACCCCAAATTATCTACCAGATGAAGCATTTGAACAAGAAATGATTATCATATCAGAACTCACAGATGAAAATAATGTAAGGAAATAAACAGTAAAACAAATAACTCGTCCGCAGGTCAGTCGTCAATATTAAGCCCAATTTTTTATACACATCTCCCATAACTATGACAGCCTCCACTATAAAACACAGTGAAATTGGAGTGTTTTAAGATTCGTTTTATATGAAAAATCAGCAGCTGTGAAGTCGTAAATAATTACTAGTGAGGTGAGGCGAGGTTAGGTTTCGTAAGGTTCTAATAGGTTCTGAGCATTGTCGTTTTGATTTCATTAGCCAATCAGAGAGCACGCATGGTAAGATAGTGTTAGTAGAAACTAAGTCAATCACGGCAAAAATCCACTGCCTATTAACCCAAAAAGACGTTCTGGCATTTAATGTCAGAAGAAACGTATCATGAACACTAACACGAGGAGTGACAGGAGCGAGTCACTCAACCCGGCCTGTAACTAAACAACTCAACAGCTGTCAAATTTTATCACAATATATTGCTATACTGACAATATATTAATCATGTATCTTGCACCGTCTTTACTCTTATAGACTAACATGAACAGCTTACCTTATTATATGAAAGACTTTAGATGGAAATAAAGAATTAAGCGGCAGCACTGCCCAATGACAGTCTCCGTTCCACCTGGTCGTCTAAACACCACAGGCGGCCAAGCCACAATTTATAGTTTTCCACACAATAATCCACGAAAAAATACATCATTGCCTCACATAGCTTTCCTTAAACTATTTTAATTTGTTATTATTTTATTATATATGAATTTAGTCCCTTTATGAAGAATATAAGTTCATTACATTTTATTATATCAAATCACAATGAAATAGATAAATTATATATCCGTTCGTTGAGTTCCGGATTTTATAGGATTTTGACATCACTTTTACCATGATGTAATAAATATGAATAATGTCGTCATAAATAAACAGAATATGCTGATAACCACAAGAAACACCTAGTTATCAGCATATACATGCAAATATATGCAAATAAATCACTGTAGTGCGCGTGATCCATGTGAATTCTAATTAATGAGGTATAATAAGCATAGTGCACAAAAAACGCGCAGGGTAAATTTTTACAAGTGGAATCTCAGCAATTTTAAGGTTTTTAACACATGCAATAGATATAACTCATCATGTTGCGTAACTTTCATTCTATACACTTCCATCGCCAATGAATAATAATGAACCTAATAGAACCCGACTTAACCAAAGAAACTTAGTAACATTACCTAACTTCCTAGCCGAAGGGGTAGGGGCGGCCTCCCCCCTCTATATTAAACAGAAAGTACTTATTTTGATATCTGGTTCCAATAAAAGCAACTGTGTTGAAGCGTCTTGGTGTAATTTTACGTTTTAGTGGACATAGAGTATTGAGCGGGTCCCGGGTGTAAACAAACAGATGACTCGCGGTGACTGCAGATTTTTCCAAGTACTGTACAGTATTAACGGTAAATAACCTTTTTATATATACTTTTTTCTTTATCCTCTTCACCACTGTTCGGTTCGCTTACATGTAATTTGCGATAGAAATGCCATAAGAAAAAGTGATAGAGATGGGTGAAATCTAATACCCATAGCAAACATCTTTATAAGAGTCCACTAGTACAGGAGTACTACGGTATACCGGGTAAAATTGCAGATTGCATCAACCAAAGAATCTGATAAAAAATGTTACCTAACCTAACCTAAGTTAACCTAACCTAATGTCATATAAGAAAATGATCATACAAAAAATAGTTCTATCTATTGAGTGCAGTGAATTTCCGGAATTCTGTGGTTGCTGTTACTGCAATACAGTATTACCCTGTGCCGTTATTATTAATATAATACAGGAAATTTGATGGGGTAAGAGATTCACTGGAGAAAACCTTTTATTATAGGATGGTAATAGCAAAAATACCAGGCGGCTAACCAGGAAATCAGTGGTGAAGAGGATAAAAGTAATTAAAGTACATTTTCTGGTTCATATTCTCGTCAAATCACCATCAATTAAATAAGAAAACCTATTATGTTTGTTAGGGATTCCCTTCATGTCTTGGTAAATATAGTTTTTTTTAAATTTTTCAGTGTTTTACTGAAATCTGACCTTCATTTATTGTGCAAATTAGCGGTTTTTGCAAAAAAATTAAATTTTAATCTTTAATAGAAACAGCTAATTTGCACAAAAATAGAGGTAAAATTTGAGTAAAACAAACCAAATTACACAAAAAGAAAACCTATTCTCATACCATAGGAACCAACCTACCTAACCTAACCTACATGGAAGAGGACGAGACAAGTGACTCTTAAGTGAGGAGTATAACCTCAGGTAAACTTGGTGGGAACCTGCGGACAGCCAATGGACCAATATTAACTAATTTTTAAGGCTTTGGATATTTGTCCGGTTGTCGGTTACGTAGTTTATTTAGACTAAAATCAGAAAGAATTGATAGAATTTTATGAAACTTTGTGGAAACGTTATTTACAATCTATTAAATGGATAAATGTAAACGAGTGTAGTGGATACTCTCCCCTACAACTGCTGATTTGTTGCTGACCAGCCAACCCATGGCACGTATCCACTACACGAGAAAGCACAGAACCCATTAAAACATGACGTAACCTAAAGTAACCTGCCTAACGTACCTGAGAAACTTTTTAAAACATACCTACGGACACTGAATGAATCCTTGTTTCCATTTATCTATTTAATAGATTGTAATAATCTTTACAACAAAGTTTCATCTAGTTCTATCAATTTCTGGAGGTCTAAAAAAAATACCTAACCGACAACTAGAAAAATACTGTATACATAGCGTGTTTTTAAGTGTTTTTTTTGGGTAGTATCAACTTACTGATTAAGTATATGTACATACAGTACATGCTGATCCATTGTGTACAAGTAAAAAATAATAATAATGAATAAAAGTTATTTATATCTTATCCATATATTTGATGGTTATTAGCATGCCAATGTATGCTAGGTTGAGTTTTGAACCAACCAAACAAATGGTTCTTCTCGTCTCTAATATATCCTATAATGAAAATTATGTTGCTGGGTGGACATAGATTAGTATTCAGAATTAAAAATATTAAAGTTGTTTAAAATAAAATCCAGTATCTTCAAAAAGTCAAAACTGAATTTTTTTGTGTAAGTTAGGGTACTGTAACAGTACTCAAGTATAACATTGGTTACCTTACACTTTTGGTTTTACATAATGTCAATAAATGCTTATACAGGTATATGTTATAGTCCCATGTATCCTACAATAGTAAATAAAAACCATTAGTGGTGATATGAATCCAAGGGAAACTAGGGTTAGCTTATACCACAGACGGGCAAGGGGGTGGGGGCTAATTGAGGTGTATACTGTAAACATATCAAAGGGCACTACCAATCTACCACTACTTAGTCGAGTGTCTATACCTGGAGCTGGCGGACACCCGCCCCACTAGGGGTCACAGCTCAAGGTAGAAGAAGCCGCAAGTCCAGAAAACTGTGAAGGCGAACTTTTTTTTGCGTGAGAGTTGTGAACTCTTGGAACAATCTGCCAGTGTTGTGACAGCACCAAGTGAGTGAGGTCTTTCAGACTTGACCAACACTAGAGCAAGTTCAGATACATTCAGAAGAATACACCCCATTTCGTCACCAAAATCCTATTTCGTCACTAATATCAAATCCTTTTCGTCACCACTAACAGTCGCTGGTATTAGTGACAAATTGTAAGTTATTATATTACACGAATAGAAATTGCACATGTATACAGACGACTCGAGAAATATTGTGTTCTTATTATACATGAATATTAATTAATTAATAAAGAAAATGATTAAACATTGGTAAATAAACAAAATACAGAACAAATAAGGTGATTTGGCATCAGTGCATAAACCACCGAGAAGCACAGAACAATCTCGCTCTACCCTTTTCTTGACTTCTTCACAGAGAAGCCTCAATAGTTGATTTGCAATTACAACTAGTTGCTGAGCACAAGCTAAAAGTGTTTTTTTTTATTATTTTCTATCCCAAGCAACATTTATTTTCGTGTATATAATGATTATTGTTTAAGTAAAATGATTACAGGCGTATTAACAATGTTTTTATTTTATATTTTCGTCTTTAATAAATGTCTTACTGTTTTTTATTATTTTCTGTCCCAAGCAACAGTTATACCGTGTATATATTAATGGGAATGAACGCGGTGATGAAACGGGTAAAGCAGTGGTGACGAAATGGGCAATTTGGGCATACCCCATTCAGAAGCCCAGTACTTGCCAACAGTGTGTAAGAGATGTGACCGACCGCCTAAGAGGCTAACAAGCCGATCAGTGGCAAAGAGGATACAAGTAAAAGTTGGGTCAAAAGAAAAATAATGAAATATAGTACATATACATGTATTTACATTTACATTTTTTTTTTTCATTCACCACTTATCAGCTTTCTAGCTATTCAGGCTACTTATTTAAAATCCCATGGGAAAATATCCATAAATACTGTAGTTACAATAAGTGAGTAAGAACAAATAACAGTGCCAAGACATTGTCATACCAGGTCAAGGACATTTTGTCACCTGTTAAATCTATCATAACCTGACCTAACTTAACTTAACCTAACCAAATTTTGGCTTCAGTACTTCCAAAATGAAGAAATTATTATCTAAATTTGATAAATATAACATGGTATTCAATGGACCGGTGACAAAATGTCTGGCCATCAGTTTCACCACAGCAGTAAGCATAATGCTACCTGTGGTACCATCAGGGTTCGACAGTTTAATACAGTGGTAGGTAGGCTATAGCTACTGCACCTTTGTCACTCCAGCAAAATCACTGTATGATATATATGGACACAAAGTAGTGCCTTCAGCTGTATATTGTTATATTACTATTATTAATTATGTATAGTAAAGTATTACAGAACATGTATTAATTCTATGTAATATTCTATTTATTGTGCACCATATTATGTATATAAATTATCACATTTATACTTTATGTATTCAGCTTGTGAATGCTGGCATCTGTATAGGCCAGCGTGTAGTAATACATAGATAGATGTAGAGGTAGTTAAGACCGAGTCCTGGTGGTGTGCCCACAGGCTTCCTGTGTCCTCTGTAATATCATCTCCCGTACGAGAATAGAACCTACTTTTAAAGACAACAAGTGTTTGTATATACCCTCAGTAATATAGAACATTCTTTGGGTATCTGGCAATACGCTAGATGGCGCAGTGAGTAGGATCTTTCTGGGCTACCCTTACCTTTGGTAAGCAGTCTTGCTCAGCCCGGATTGATGTTCATAATGGTATCCCGACTCCGCTCTTATCATATGGCCATTGTCAAGGATTGGCCATTATTTCCAAGGAATTCCCTAAACCTATCTTAAAGGTCACCCATGTCAACAGGTTGAAGGAATTCCCTATCTCTACTAACACGTCCCCTTCTGACGCAAGAGCTTACCTTCTCAAGGAGTTTGCTGACGTGTTGGTTAATAAGAAATCTTTAGGATCCACACCACTCAAGCCGATGGTGGGTCCACCTATGAAGATTCATCTTAAGGATGGTGCTACACCTTTTGCCATCCACACCCCTCGTTTGATTCCTCACGCCTACAAGGAGCTAGTTAGACAAGAGCTTGACTCCATGGTTGTTCAGGGAATCATCAAACCGGCCGGAGACGAACCTTCACCTTGGTGCCACCCTCTCGTCCCCGTCGCCAAACCTCGTGGTGGAGTACGGATCACCACCGATCTGTCAAAACTTAACCAGCAAGTTTCCCGTCCAGCCCACCCTTCACCCACACCCTTCGCAGCTGTTCGAAGTGTGGACCCGAAGGCGAAGTTTTTTACAACTATGGACGCCTTATGTGGTTATTGGCAGATCGAGTTGGCCGAAGAAGACCAACACTTGACTACATTCATCACACCATTTGGAAGATACCAGTATTGCAGAGGCCCCATGGGATTTGCCGCTACGGGCGATGCATTCTGTCAACGTGGTGACGCGGCCCTTCAAGGAGTCACGAATTGTGTCAAGGTGGTTGATGATATCTTACTCCACGACGAAGACTACTGTGCCCACCTCTCCCGGATATATGAAGTTCTCACCAGATGTCGAAAGTACGGGATTACCCTCAACGCTGACAAGTTTGTAGTCGCCGCTCCATCAGTGAACTTCTGTGGGTACACTCTCTCAGCATCAGGCATTGCAGCTGACCCGGAGAAAGTAAGTGGAATCAGGGATTTTCCAACCCCTGCCAACCTAACAGACCTCCGTTCTTTTTTAGGTCTGGTCAATCAGCTGGCTGAATTCACACCTGACATCTCCGCCGCAGCCCAGCCGTTACGCCCCCTGCTGAGCCCCAGGAGGACATTCCTGTGGACCCCAGATCATCAAGAGGCCTTCCAGCGAGTTAAGCAGGCCCTTGTGAGTCCACCTGTCCTCGCCTGTTACGACCCAGCCCTACCCACCGTCCTCCAGACTGACGCCTCCAGACTCTACGGCGTTGGTTACGCCCTTCTGCAGGACCATGGCGGTGGACAACTCCGCTTAATTCAGTGTGGATCCCGGTTCCTGACGGACGCTGAGACCCGATATGCCACGATTGAGCTGGAGATGTTGGCTGTTGTCTGGGCGATGGCGAAGTGCCGTTTCTACCTGATAGGACTTCAGCACTTCACCCTCTTCACGGATCATCGCCCCTTATACCTATAATCAATCACTACTCTTTGGATGCAGTAGAAAATCCTCGCCTTCAACGTCTGAAAGAGAAGCTCTCGCCTTATCTCTTCACGGCTGTGTGGCGTGCGGGTAAGCTGTTGTGCATCCCGGATGCCCTGTCCCGCGCCCCCGTCAGTCGCCCCACCCCAGAGGACGAGATGTTGTGTTCTACAGCTGCTGCATCCCTCAAGTCAGTGGTTTCATTGAAGGCCGTCTTCACATCAGAAGAGTCTACAGCACCGGATGCAGACAAAACTCTTGAAGATCTCCGCACCGCAGCCCGGGCCGACCCTTCCTACATCCGGCTCGTCGACTGTGTGTTCAGGGATTTCCATCTACCCGATACGACCTTCATGAATCGCTACTCCCGTACTGGAAAATACGCGAGGACCTCTATTGTGATGGAGACCTCGTCTTGTATGGTCCACGAGTAGTTATTCCTGCTGCCCTACGCCGCCGTACCTTGGCCCGCCTTCACGACAGCCATCGAGGAGTGGAGGCCACCAAGCGACGGGCGAAGCAGACTGTATTTTGGCCCGGAATCAACGCGGACATTGCAAGTACCGTCCGTGCCTGTGAACCGTGCCAGATTCTGCAACCTAGCCAGCAACAGGAACCTTTAATGTGCGACGATAACCCTTCAAGACCCTTCGAGTCTGTGTCGGCCGATTTCTTTGCAGTTGCAGGGAAGTCCTTCCTCGTCATTGCCGACCGACTGTCTGGATGGCCTGTTGTCGTCCCCTGTGGTAGTGATACAACGGCTACTGCTACCATCCGGAGCTTCAGGCATTACTTCAGAGAAGTTGGTGTTCCCCTCCGCCTCAGGACTGATGGAGGACCCCAGTTCACCAGCCACGAGTTCCGGGACTTCATGGACCGTTGGGGAGTCCGTCATGTCGTGACCTCGCCCCACTACCCCCAGGCGAATGGACACGCTGAAGCCGCAGTCAAGACTGTGAAACACCTGATCCTTAAGGTGTCACCCTCAGGAAATATCGACTGCGAGGACTTCGATCGAGGTTTGTTGGAGTTACGCAACACCCCGAACTTCACCGGACGCTCCCCAGCCCAGGTTCTATACGGACATCATCTCAGGTCTTGTGTTCCTGCCCACCCGAAGTCTTTTTCTCAAGAGTGGCAGGCCAAGACTGAAGAATGTGACCGCCGTGCAGCAGAACGAGCCGCAGATGTCGCTGCTCGGTACGACTGTCATGCCCGCCCCCTTCCCAGGTTGAGTATCGGCCAGCAGATCAGGATTCAAGATCCGGTATCTCACCGCTGGGACAAGGTTGGGGTTGTTATGGGTATTGGCCGGTCCAGGGACTACCAAGTGCGTCTTCCTAGTGGTAGAGTATGGTGGAGGAACCGTCGTTTCCTCCGACCTGTGGAGCTGCCTAGTGTTGACCCCTCCCCAGTTGAGTCCCCTAATGTTGATGTCTCTAAAGTAAATCCATCCCCACCTTGTGTTTCTGCCCCAGTACTCCGCAGGTCCGAGCGACTCAGAAACAAAAGGTCCGCTCAAGATGAAACTATGAGCGTATAGGGGGGAGGGAGGTGTATGATATATATGGACACAAAGTAGTGCCTTCAGCTGTATATTGTTATATTACTATTATTAATTATGTATAGTAAAGTATTACAGAACATGTATTAATTCTATGTAATATTCTATTTATTGTGCACCATATTATGTATATAAATTATCACATTTATACTTTATGTATTCAGCTTGTGAATGCTGGCATCTGTATAGGCCAGCGCGTAGTAATACATAGATAGATGTAGAGGTAGTTAAGACCGAGTCCTGGTGGTGTGCCCACAGGCTTCCTGTGTCCTCTGTAATATCATCTCCCGTACGAGAATAGAACCTACTTTTAAAGACAACAAGTGTTTGTATATACCCTCAGTAATATAGAACATTCTTTGGGTATCTGGCAATACGCTAGAATCACTGAATGTTTATTTGATTATAATTGGAGTGAAACATCCAGTAATACCATTTTATCTTATTGTGGAGTGTGCAGGCAGACTCACATATTTTTCATAGTTTTCACCGCTGTATTTAGCTCGCACGTTCCTGCTCCTAAATTAATGGGTTATACTGTTGAGAACATTTCCCTTTCATAACCAGGACACTAATTTGATCCTATTTAACATGTTTGTGAATGATAACACATGTTTCAATGTTATCAACAAATGAGGATAAAAAATTATCATTACCTGAACACTCTTAATTAATGTACAGTACAGTAAAGACAGATGGAAGAGTAAATGTCATAGTCACTAACCATGAACATAAGTTTAAAACATTTATCATGTAGCACCAGTCCTTCAATCTGTGTGTACTGTACTGTATGATGCCACACTCCAATTCATGTGAAACTTTCTCCAAATATTTCAACATTCAAAATTTAACCAATGTTATGGGCTACTGTATTTTGAATTTCCAATACTGTACTGTATCTTTTTCTTTTTTACAGAGATACCCTGTGATGGAGACTAGACTTCTGGAAGACATAATACACCTGTTACAAGATGTAGAATGGCTGTACAACTTTCCTGTGACTCAGGTACTGTACCCTATTTCTAAAAGAAAATTTTCCCCAAAAACCTTTTCTTTAAATCTTTTTTACCTTCATGTTCTCTGTTTCTTTGAGAATTAGCTCAATGGGGTTCTCCTGGGATGCACAAATTATTAACAAGAAAAACCTCAGTACTGTACTATATTTATATACAGTATTAAGCTGGGATTCCATATATGCGTTTGCAGTGTGCTTGTGGTATACGTTTGCGTTAAATTGCCCTGAAACACGGACACCCGTTTCCATATGCTGCAGCTGTCATTCTAGCAGGAACACGACAGGAAAGGTGGCTCCTAGTGCATCGAATCTATGACAATATTTATATGAACAGGATGAATTGCTATTAAACATCTTGGGTTTGTATAAGATTATGCGTAAATCAAAAGAAAAACGAACAAGGAAACGTAGATGGTGGGTTCATAGATTGCTGCTGAATCGGACCAAATATGGAGCCTGCAGTACTCTGGTAAAAGACTTGAGCTTTGATGAAGAAAAATTCTAAGAATATTTTCATCTGAGCAGACAACAGTTCACACATGTTCTTTCCCTGGTTGAGGAGGATTTGGTGAAACACTGCAGGAACAGAGAAGTCATTTGCCCAAGGCATCGACTTGCAATATGTATAAGGTGAGTCTTGCTTATAAATAGGAAATAATAGGAACCGTAGATAAATATTAATTGACACAAAATTAGTATTCCAGTGACCCTTTTATTGAGACCATGAACCTCCATTTTAGAACAGTTGTGTAAAAAATGTATGGGTCTCGTAAAATGATGTACCGTATGAAGGTTTTTAAATGTAGTATATAAATGCATTACAATAATAGGTTGGGATATATTCTGAGTGAATTCAACTTCACAGTCTCCTCGACAGAAAACTGTTTTTTTCCTCGAGGCATTTTGCAGGGTGAGGAGAGCAAACTTAGGGATAGAGAATCACTGTGTGGGATTCCCGTGTCCATTTCCATGTGGTTGTGTTTTCAATCTCTACAGGAAGCGATTGGCATGCACTGCAGACTCATAACTCTAATGCTGCCGCTAACGCAACCGTGCCAATGGAAACAACTGTGTAGTACATTTCAATGTGATCTATTTTTGGCTCTAACGCTACCACTACCGGGTGAATGGAATCCAAACTTTAAAGATACCGTATTTGTGTGGATACTCGACATTTTTAATGTATTTGTTTCTGATTATTTGTGAGAGGATTTTCCCATTAATATTTATTTGTATGTGTGTTTAATAATAATAATAATAATAATTAACGGTTTATTGAAAGAGCATAGCAGCCAAAAGGCTGAAAATATACAGTTACATAATTGGGGAATGGGTTTCGATATACAAATACTGTACAAGTAATATAAGTGGTACAAATAAGATATAAAATAATTAGATGGGGAAAAGCTTGAACTATAGGGCATTTCAACATAGTGACAGTGCAAGAAGTAGGATTTACTGGGAGTGAATACACTGGTTTATTACAAGTTATTGTGTGTGTGTGTGTGTGTGTGTGTGCGTGTGTGCGCGTGCGTGCGTGCGTGCGTGCGTGCGTGCGCGCGTATATATATATATATATATACAATACGTACAGGTAAAGGAAATTACTGTCTCTTTGAACGAATGGCTCCCTGTCCCGGCTGCAAAAATGCCAGCAACTTTAAAACTACCCTTAGACATTTTTGGATACATCCAGGGTTTCATCCGCGAATAATTGAGGTCCGTGAATTAAAAATCCACTAACTTGAAGGGCATGCTGTACTATATTAGAATACCCCATACTGTACAGTCCTTCAGTCTACTTTGTGGTCTTGTGTTATATGGATATTGCACATTATATATGGTAGTGGAACTCTTGGTGAATATATATATTCAAAACAATGTCTGTCTATCTTTTTTCATGACGTGAATAAGATTACAGTACTGTACATCAAACATCTGGGACTTCAGTTGTCTTTCAAGAGATGGTGTTGTACAAGTGTAAACATTTGTATTGTACAATTGAAACAATTTAGAGGCTTAAGCAAGGGGTCATATAGTGGAATGTACACCACAGTGAGGAAGGATTACAGTACAGTATGTATGTCATGCCATGACTATGGACCAGCTGGCTAAGGACTCGTTGGCTGGTTCAAGCAGCAATTACTGACGTCAATCAACATCACAGTGCATCATAACGGGACTGGCCAATGAGACGAGAAGACGAGGTGGTGCGACGGAGGTGAGCTAGTAGCCGCGGTTGTTATGCTATTTCCAATAGAATAATAGGGTTAGAATGAACAACGTATAAGGGTGGACTTAACTATTTATTAATTAAAAAACACAACACTGGTATAACACACGGCAGCACTCCCACGACGCACGACTCCCACAGCACACACACACACACAGCTCACATTCCTACAGCACCACAGCAGGACTCCCACAGCACACACACACCTCACATTCCTACAGCACCACAGCAGGACTCCCACAGCACACGGCTCAGCTCACGGCAGTAAGTGTTAACTGGGCCTGCCAGGAGTTCCATCTTTTCCGGGGCGATGGTTCGTGGCTACTAGCTCACCTCCGTCGAACCACCTCGTCATCCCGTCTCATTGGCCAGTCCCGTTATGACGCACTTTGACGTTGATTGATGTCAGTAATTGCTGCTTGAACCAGCCAACGAGTCCTTAGCCAGCTGGTCCATAGTCATGGCATGACATACATATAGTAAACATGGGAAGACTTTTTTTTGGGGGGGGGGATGTTTCCACACTTGATGAATAATTTTTCTGAAATAAACTCAAAAAGTTTACTTGTGTCAGTTGTATGCCTGAACCAGGAAATATTTTGTGTTTATTTTCTCTAATGTAGTTTTAAATTGGGTGTCTGGAAATCTGAAATTCCTCAGTGATTTCTCCTTCAGACAGGATTTATGGGTAGAGTTATTAAAGACAGGTTCCCTTCTTATAGTGAGCCTGTAGCAGCCACTACCTATAAATACTGCCTGGGTTAGATGTTACAACACCGTAATGTTTGGATAGCTCATTCCCACTTGGAGCTTGAGCAGGGGATCAAACTGTGCAAGTAGTCACAATTCTTATTTCTTTTTTACCCCTCTGGCTGGAGGGAAGGTAAAGCCAAGGTACCTTAGTGTTTAATGCTAAGCGTTTTTATTCAGCAGAGAGAGGGCCCCATACACAAGGGGTTTATATTTCTCTTAAGTGAGGGGCTTGCCATGTAGCAGTTAGGTCTTTTTTTCAGCCTCTCCAGGATAATTGCATGAATAAGAGAGATGGATTGTTACATAACAGCTGGCACTGAAGCTGGATTGTTATTGGTGTCAAGTTGTAACCAAACAAGTGACTGGGAAGAAAAGTTCTGCTAACATGGCAGAGAGGTAATATCACTTTGCTTTGAATGATATTGAATATCTAAGAACCCTTTAGGGTTTTGGTTATACAGTACTAGTCATAAAAAAAGAGCTAAAATCTTGAATAGTTTCAAGGTTCTAATTTCTGAGTTAGTTACTCACCCATAAATTAGCTAGTTAAAATACACTGGTTCCCCAAACTGGTCTTTGTTGTAGGATTTGTAATTATTTTTTTAACTATCATATGTTAACTAATACGGTGACTATTAGTTGATATTCTTTCAGATTTTCACAAGAAATGTGTTTTCTCAAATGCCAGAAGAATGGAGAGATGCTTTACTTAAGCTTCCTGTCGAGATCCTTAATACTATTCCACAATATAACAGCCAAGTAAGTCTATTGTGGTTTGGTTCCAGTATCTAATGCCTACTGTTCCATATATTGAATTTTATTTATTTAAAATTAATTGACTCTTGGTAAGAATGGATAAAATTTAGTTTACTGTGTAGTATAAGTTTCCTTAAACAAATAATCACGTAAAATTTTATTAATAAATATTTCATTTGTTGTGAAGCTCCACCCGTAATGGTCATCTCTCTGCTTATATTGATGTATCAGAATCTGTCTTTTCATACTGTACATGTATTATTCAGTTTATTTATTGTACAGTACAGGTTGTGGTCCAGAAACTTCCGTGGTCCGGAACGATTTTAGTTTGTCCAATAGGTAGATAGGCAGCTCTCTTTTTTTTTTTTTATAAACTTATCTGAATTATTATTAGTATTATTACAGGAGTATTAAATTTTTGCCCCTCAGGCCCCAATGTGGGTCAGTGACCTATGCCCGGGTGGGCTAATCCCCATAAAAAAAAAACAAAGCCGCGGGAAATTAAGGTTTGTTTACATCTGGCAGTTCTGCTGCTCTCTCTCTCTGCTTGTCCATACAGAATACAACATTTAACCCTTCAATATATATGAGCAGTAAATAAGTGTTGCTTTCATATTCTTATGTAGAGTAATGACGATATGTTTTCACATGTGCGCACTTACATACGCGCAGTCTCACTTTTTTATACCATTAATGGTTAGCTACTTATATTGTTCCATTTATTAACATTAAATAACATTACAGGTACTTCAAACAACCATATTCATTTTTTTACATTAATTTTACTACAGTTACAATCAGGGTCTTATTTTCTTCAGTTTTATATGTAGACCCAATCAGTCACTGGTTTTGTAAGCTTTAACAAAAACAATGCCGGCAGCCGACTCGTCTCCTCGTGTGTTTTAATATTCCACGTATTATTAATAAATTGTATTGTTAATTTTGCACACACAAACATTAATTCAATAAAAACAAATTCAGAAACATTAATTAAAATATATATGAATTTTAAATAAGTGTTGCTTTCATATTCTTATGTAAATTAATGACGATATATTTTCACATGTGCGCACTTACATACGCGATCTCTCTTTTTTTCTTTACCACTATCGTTAGCTACTTCTTTTGTTCCATTTATTAACATTAAATAACATTACTTTTTTTTTTTTTTTTTTACGGGATTAGCCCACCCGGGCACAGGTCACTGACCCACATCAGGGCCCGGGGGGCGAAAATTTAATAATAATAATAATAATAATTCATAGTAAATAAAATTTATAATAAAAAGTAAAACAAAATATTAATGGTAATAATAATAATAACAACACTGTGATAATAATACATACAAAGAAATGCAAGAATGAAAAAAAATCAACAGTGAGAAACGCTATATGTATGTTGTTTTGTCATGTAATAGAAACAATTGAGACCCTACAATTGTGTGTAAATGAGGCAGAATGTCAGATCAGCAACCTGGGACTTGGTCACAATTTTCGTGATGCCATATGGCAGCAGGGTCTACCATTAGACAACACATTATGCTGCCAATATCTTCCCAGGCGGTAGTACCTCCCTGTTTGGTAGCTGCCTACTACCCCCTGTACCCTGTTTTAACCCTATCTACATGTCTTTCACTGCTTTCTTTTAAAATTTTCTCCAGTTAGTCTTCTTTCACTACTTTTTCATAATATTTTTTTCCAGTTAGTCTTCTTTCACCCAGCACAAGTAATATCTAGATAGAAATTTAATTTAATGTACAAAAATATTGAATTACCGCATACTTTTCATTATATTTATTGAATTTCTAGGAACATTGGCCGTCTTCCCTTCAGTTATTCTTAAAGAAGTGTAAGAGACTTTCCCTGCATCATCTGGTTGTCAATCCTCATGATGGTCAACCAGATACCCACCAGAAAATGCATTTGCCCCAGGAGATCACTAAAGGAATGTCAACGAAGAAGAAACACGAAGTAGCATCTCTCCTGTACCTAGTGAAGCGACTTTCAGACACTACACAAAGTCGTCATGTTCTGGATGTTGGCAGCGGCATAGTGAGTAGGGGTGCTGAGGGCAAGATGACAACGACAAAGCAACTTGTTATGTGCTTGTTATACCATTATACTGTACTGTATATCTTTAACTGTGTTTTCCAGCATTTTTACTCGTCTGATATGTTGACATCATGCTCGGAGCCCCTCATATGCTATATTGTGTGGCTTTATTGGGATTGGGTCTCAAAATATATTCTCTGTATTTTGTAAGGGTATGAATGTCCTTTCTGGAAATGTGTGGTAGTCAGGTGAGTTGTACAGTACAGTATATTGTTGGGTGATGAAGGTAGCAAACTTCTGAATATCACCATACTGTGTGTACAGTATTTAGAAGCTAATTACTTTTTGCATGAATGAAGGAATGCATTATCAGATATCAGAGTTAATCTTAGTTGGGAATTGTGTCAGCCAGTTCATTAGTTAGTCTTAAAAGGTAAACAGTTCATTGCAGTCTTGAAACATGTTGTTAGAGCAAAGAAAAGAGTTATTCTTGCATCGTAAAATAATTGTATTTTTTCTTTGTACTGAATTCATATTTTTTAATGTGAAGCTGATAATTTTTTTCTCATTTCTAGGGCTATATAGACACTCTTCTTCACCACATACTCAAGTTCACAATCTTAGGTGCTGAAAGTGTGGCGGAACATGTAAGAAGTGCAAATACTAGACAGCAGAAACTCTCGGGCCAGTGTACTGGGATCAGACACTTGCACTGGAGCCTTGCAGATGATGAGGGAACTCTTCATAAAGCTGAGGAAGTGATATCAGAGCTAGTTCAAGTAGATCAAATATGTACATGTCAGGTCACGAAAAAGAGTTCAATATCCGGTGAGACAAGTGATAAGCCGCCTGTATTTATCATGAATAAAGAACATGAATCAAGTGGTTATGATGAAGGAAATAACTCAGAGTCAGTAGTAAACACAGATGGTCATCATCCCAAAAAGTCAGCCATACTTTTGGGACTACATGCCTGTGCTGATCTGTCTCCCATCATGATGAAAATATACAAAGAATCTTCTCGGGTATCTTCCCTTGTATTACTTTCTTGTTGCTACCACAAGATGCAAAAACAAAGCACACATGATGTTAATATTAGCCAACCTGAAAAGTTATGTGGCCAAGAAACTGTTATGGAAGAAGAATTTGTAAATTTTCCCATGAGTAAGGCACTGAAAAATATATTACAGCAAAATAATGTTCACATGTCAACCTTTGGTCTAAGGCTCGCAGCTCAAGAATCAGGTCTGCGATGGATCAGACAAACAGCAAAGGACCATGAGAATCACAAGAAAAATGTGGCTTATAGAGCACTTCTGGAAGTATTTTGTATCAGAGGTAAGCCATTGCTGTTCATTAAAAGATAGTCATTATCTTTGAGCTTTGTTACTTTGCTCTTGAAGTCATGCAAATTTTTTTTATGAGAAACCCAGGTCTGAAAAGTCATGAAATTCTACTGATAATCCTTGAAAGTCATGTAAATTTAATAAGTTCAGTAAATAAAAATAAATACTGTACATTATATACCTGTCTTGATAAATATACAGTATAGTCTGGATTTACGCGGTTTTTGTTCACGCGTTTGGTCATTTACACTGCACCTTGCCAGAATGAAATGTTTTAATTATGAGATAAATCTCATCATTTACGCGGGAAGCGGCGCGGACAGGGTGCACACTAGGTCACCTAGTCAACAAAACATTACAGTACTGAGTTCTTCACCCGCCACCCACAACAGCCAGCCCAAGTCAGTGATAGTGAGGATATGGACTTTGAGGGGTGTGACAAAGAGGCTCTGCAAGCCTCTGTGGTGGATAGTGATACAGGTGATACAAGTGATACAGGTGAGGGCCAATAATCTGCCCTCTGCCTCAGAACCAACCCCAATCCCCATGTACCCAGCCATTTCTTCTAAGTAAGTGTTAAAAAACCTAGTATTATTGATATTTCTCTTAAATATTAATTGTGTGTGCATACCATCATAAAATTAAATTGTTATTTTTACTACAACGTACGTAACATAACATATTGTGTCTGGGTGAAGTATAATTTATTTATTTACTGAAGATATTTGTTTTTAGCTCATAAAATTCATAGGAATTACCCGGCCAGAATATAATTTACATTGCTGGAATTGTTATAAGATGGTGAGTAATTTAAATATAAACATCCTAAAATTTGCATTAGACATACAAATTTTAGATCTAATTTAAGAATTTTATTAGAAAGAGCAAAAATTTTATCTTTTGTGCAAAATATATGAAGTTTATATTCAAATTATTGATTGTCTTGCAAGGAATCCAGCAATGTCAATTATATTATCTTAACTTTAGTCTGAGGTATTATTTATTACTAAACCTGTAAGCCTAGTGTTTTTCCCCAAACATTTCTCTGGTAGGGAGGTGAGGTGGGGGGTAGGGAGGGAGGGACCCAGCGAGCGTGGGAAGAGGGAGAGAGTGGGAGATGGGGTATTTTGATTGATAGATAGTGTCTGGGTGAAGTATAATTTGTTTATTTACTGAATATATTTGTTTTAGCTCATAAAATTCATAAAAAGAAATTACCTGGCCAGAATATAATTTACATTGCTGGAATTCTTATAAGATGGTGATTAATTTAAATATAAACATACTAAAATTTGCATTAGACATACAAATTTTAGATCTAATTTAAGAATTTTATTAGACGTTTATATTCAAATTATTCAGTCTTGCAAGGAATCCAGCAATGTCAATTATATTATCCTAACCATAGTGTGAGGTATTATTTATTACTAAACCTAAAAACCTACTGTTTTCACCCAAACATTTCTCAGAGAGGGAGGAGCCAGCGAGCGTGGGAAGAGAGGGGGGGAGGGGTTTGAGTCCATTATTTGAATGGACATTAACCGGCGACTGTATTCTCTTAAATATTAATTGTGTGTGCATACCACCATAAAATTAAGAAGTTATTTTTACTACAACGTAGGTATTGTGTCTGAAAAAGTGGAGTTTTGGGGGTCGGTCCGGTCTCTTATTTCAATTAATCCCATATGTTATGTTGTTCACTTTACGCGTTTCTCACTTTACGCGGGCCGCCGTGGGTTCAATTGACCGCGCAAAGTGAGGGTTCACTGTGTGTGTGTATATATATATATATATATATATATATATATATATATATATATATATATATATATATATATATATATATATATATATTGATAAAATCACACGGGAAAATGGAAACAACGGAGCACCTTAGCTTTCGTTTTTATTCAAGACATTGTGATTATATATATATATATATATATATATATATATATATATATATATATATATATATATATATATATATATATATATATATATATGCTAATATTAATATTAAAGTGGGGGTGCTATGTTCAATCTAATTGGTTCTAGAACCTTGTTCGTTATACCATTCGTTCGTTATGGGATTAATCCGTTCCAGGCCCCTAAATACAACCACTTAACACTGAAAAATATAATATAAAATTATAAAAATTGTAAAAAAGTGCATAAATATGCATCTAAACCCCTGAAATAAAGAATATCATTAATATTTGTAATAAAAAAACAATAAATTGAAAAAAAAAAAAAATAAAAAAAAAATAAATAAATAATGTTCGTTGTAGGAGTTTCGTCATATAGCATTCTCAATTTTATAGGTAAAACCGTTCAAGAGTAGGAATATTCGTGAGTAGGATCCGTCATATAGCATACCCTACTGTATATATATATATATATATATATATATATATATATATATATATATATATATATATATATATATATATATATATATATATATATATATATATATATATATATATATATATATATATATATATATATATATATATATATATATATATATAACCATGTCTTATTTATATTATATATTAGTAATTATAAATTCACACATGTGTGTATAATGCAGAATAATAATACAGTATATACTACTGTACTGTATATCAATACCTTTAACTTCCCTGTTATTTCAGAGGGATTTACCTTGAGAAAACTTCGTCGTCGATGTGTGAGAAAATCTCATTTTGAAGACTTCAGTGAATATATTAGAAATGTAGTTGTAAATTATGAATTTATACCATCCAAAGGCAATGTACATGTTACAGGACCAAGTAAAAATAAAAGATTCAGTGATGCATCTTCACCACATTTACAAAGTACAGAAAAAAGTCAAAGAACAGAAAAAGATAATGATGCTGCCCCACATCAAAGTCTTGATACATCTGAAAGGAGAGACTTACCAGCTGTAACAGAGGAATATATCACACGTATTTTACAGAAATGTTATGAAGACTACCAGCACTTATTTCCACTGATTGAACCTCTCACAGGTCTGCAGTTGGCCTTGCAGCCAGTGATGGAAGCACTAGTATTTGTGGACAGAGTGGCTTACTTAAAAGAGTGTGGCTTCACTAACGTATGGTTAGAGAAAGTGTTTGATGTAGAAGTTTCACCCAGAAATGTTGCTTTAGTTGCTCTGAGATAAATGAGTATGGTACAGTAACATATTATTTTCAGCAATATGTTAGTACAGTACTGTATACAGTACTGTACTTTAAGTGAGATCTTAACAGAGTCAGAGAAGATGTTACAAACCACATCAAGTTCCCATGCACCCAAGTACATGACTCGGAACCTCCTGCAACATGGTGGGAGAGTCCCTTCGAGACAGTGCATGACCAGTACTTGCCAACAGTGCGTAACAGAGACGTGACTGACTGTCCAAGCGACTAACGAGCCGATCAGTGTTGAAGAGGATAAAAGTACAAAAGTAAAAGTTAGAAAATAAAAATAAAATTCAGGAATAAGTCAACATGTCCTAGGCTCTGGTACCCTGAAAACATTTTTCTACCAGGACAATTTTCAGGTGACCACTAAAAAGACTGTTTGGATATGGCCTTACTAATAAAGAACCGAAGATTATTTTATATATTATATGTAGTGCAATCTACTTATACTGTATATGATATTTATTTATGTGCCCAATGTAAACAAAAATAGTTCCTATTATATCTTTTTAATCTCCAAATGAGGACCAAGTTTTGCCATTTTCATATATTATGACAAAGTTATAAAAAAAAAATGAACCAAGTATACTGTATCAGAAAAAAGTAAGCGTGCATGCAAGCACGCAGAGAGAGAGAGAAAGAGAGAGAGAGAGAGAGAGAGAGAGAGTGGGTCCACGACTTATGAATGCCCACTGATACGAACAAGGCTAAACTTGAAATTTACAGTACAGTATTTTATTTACTTGATGACTTATTTTTTACGTTCATTTACTGTATCTTGTCATTCTATTTCTTCTTTTGTCTTAAATTAAGTGATTTTTGATGTACAGTATATAAGGACATAGGCTATGATATAGTGGAGTTTTAAACATTGTTCTTTAAGTATGGTATGCACATAGCATGTGTTCTGACTTATGTACAACTCCTCCCCGACTTACGACAGGGTAAGGGACCCAAATCTAGGTCGTAAGTCGAAAATGCTTAAATAATGCATAGAAAATCTAAAATGGGTCTCTTTTTCTTCTTAGCACCACAAAACTCTCACTTTTAAGCTTGCCAGCCATTTTAAAGTGAATTACAAACCAAAATTTTGTCAGTACACAGCGCAATCACTGACGTTGGGACTCGAAAATACGTAATTTGACAAAATTTTGGTACGACTGAGGCAGGTCGTAAGTGCGGGTGGTCGTAAGTCGTGGAGGAGCTGTACAAATCCGACTTAAGAACGTCCTCAGGAACAGAAACCATTCGTAACCCAGGGACCCTCTGACCATGAGTAATGTATACCTATTTATTTATTTATTTATTTTTACATGCTGCAGTACTGTACTTAAAATAGCAGAATTATATTTTGATGTGCATACATGAAGAGTATGGTACAGGGTACCTTATATTTTAAATACATATAGTACTGTACTCACAAGTGAAGATGAATGCTATTAACTGATATTCACTTCATGATAATGGTACATACAGTAATTTCTTGATTGTACGAACTAATTCGAGCCTCCCCTTTCCCTTAAATCGAGTTGAGAATTCTTTTTTGTTATTTATTTCCCAATTTAGGGGAATAGTTCGTTAATTTGGGTAGATTCCGTTCAAACACTCACACCTACAAAGACACGTATCCACACACAGACACACACACACACCACCACTTTCTTCCCTCCACTTCCTTTCTGGGACTTCTACAACACTTTCAGCATGATTTCGTAGCACAATTAGGGAGAGAAAAAAAAGAAAAGAAAAAAGATCACAAGCAGAGAATGAGGAGATGGCACATGCATAGGACACAGACTGAGCGCGCGTGCTGCTGTTTCCCGCCTTTTTGGCAGAGTTAGCGGAATTCTACTAGATTTAGCGAACTAGTTGACAAAACTGGAAAATTTATAACGGAAAAAAATTGTTCCTTTAAATCAGGATTCCTTTAAATTGTATTCCGTTTTATCAAGAAAATACTGTACTGTCTCTTGGCTACGAATATTCTGGCACTTCTTTTGTCATTAGCTGGTGGTAATTATTTTTGGTTAAGAATGGCTTGTGTTGATTTTCAGTCTAATGGAAATTACTAATTGTGTCAGCTCATGTTGGAAAGAAAATGCCTTATATTTAAGTCATAACACATATCACAAGTGTTACTATTATAATCAGAGCCAGGACAAACTGATCCATTAAATAATACCAATGCAAAACTTTGGCAATATGTTGTACATATCTACCCATTTTCATGACAAGAAGTTGTATCTTACAGGAAAATTTCTAAACAAACATCAAAGTGTGGAGCAATAAGAGGTTTGGATCATGCAAATAATGAAGCAAGGACACTGTCTTGACCTGTACTTACTCATTGACAAATCAGCTGAAATAAACTTTAATTTCAAAATGAACAACACAAGACTAATCATAGCAAGGTAAGTCAAGTCTGCTTGATCTGCAAGAGAAACAAGTTATAAATACAGCACCAATGACTCTGTGGCAAAAAGTATGGGTTGAGCCACTTTCCAGGTGGCTGACCCGTTAGAATGTTACAGCAATTTGGCAGCCTCCTACCCTAAATGGTGAGCTGTATTTTCAAAGGTGAGCAGACATTTAGTTACGGTACCAGACAATTCATCCCGGTCTATTGATTACCGTGTTATATTGACTAAATTTTGATAATGTCCTATTTTGGTAGTGATGAAGCCATGGTCAGGTAAGGTCAAGTTAGGTTTATACTGAACCGGTGGCGTATTGTCCAAGGACTATTTTTAAAGCCTCAATTTTTATGATGTGAAATTGTAGTTAAGAGGAAAATGTAATTGCAAGGAAAATCTAATCAGTGGATACAGCCAGCCAACTATTGCTTTAAGTCTCCTGGGTTAATTTCCTGCCCGGCCTAGCTGTAGGTGTTTGTCAAGTACAGTATACTGTACATGATACCAAGTAAGGTAATAAATAAAGGCTATTTTGGGCCAGTCATATCTTTATTCATGTACTATCACCACTGAAACATTACAAAGATAATGTACTGAATTACATTAAAAACAAAATTATAGACTCTGGCACAACTTTATTAATACAGGTAATATCTCCGTTAGCCGGAGATGGAAATGGGGGAGTTTTTCCGCGTTTGAGAGATGAAAATCAGGCACATTTTCCGGTACCTGGAAAATTCCAGGGATGGGGATATTTTTCCAGGTTCGAGAGATGATGTGATGCACAATTTCTGGAACTTCCACGAAATTTTTTCTGTTACCCAGAAAATTCCAGGGATGAGGGATTTTTCCCGGTTTTGGGAAGAGTCATTTCGTTACCCGGAAATCTCTCATTCCCGGAAGTGCTCTGCACCAATTGTTCCGGCTAACGGAGATCTCACTGTAGGTTTAACATGTTATATGGAGATATTTTCTTCAACAAAATTAATTTGTTTTACTGTACAGTACTGTATATGCTATCAGTGAGTTGATTAAGTGTCAGATCAAGGTTATACGTGGCCCAGATGCAAGTACAGTGTGTAAATTTGGGACTCTAATCCCAAGGATATCTACTGGTGTTTCTAAGATTCGTAAGCTTCATCCTTTTACTAAAACAACAACTCTGGGGCCCCAAGATCCAACAGAAGGCCTCGGCCACAAGCGCATTCAATACACAACACCAGGGCCATCCAACATGCCAATCTCTCTTTGATGAACATAATATAAAATGAGATGCCATGCATGGTTGGGATAAGTTACAAATGGAACTGGAAATGAATAATCAATTCTAATTCAATTTTGGTAATTTGAATTGAATGGAACTAATCAATTGCACTTCAATTCCAATTTATCTTTTCTAGTTCATAGGTATACAAGTACAAGTGGCATGTAATATAAATTTAACCAAAGGCTCAATATACAGTATGTATTGTACAGTACAGTACTGTATTTATCAAAATGATGTGTTATGTTTCTGTACTTTGCTTCTACTAGACCCTCTCCTTCAAAATTTCTGAATCAGAGAAGGTGACTTTTTTGTATCAGAAGTTCAAGATAAACAATCAATCCTAATCAAACATAGAATTCAAATTAAAGAACTTAGGTACTCTGCATGGTACAGGGGTAGCTACACCCAGTGTTACTCGACTTCAAACTTGATACTGTACAACACCCATATTAACTACAGGTACTATGAATTTACCTTGTAATAACAGTAATACTTTGTGTTTTAATACAAATATCATTAAATAACAGGTTGGCAAAGGGTGCAGTTACTATTTAATATTTTTCTCCTTTCTAGTACAATACCTGTAAAAGTAACCATTTGCTGTACATTGTAAATTGGCTTTTAATGTTCTGAAACTTCATGTGTATACAGGGGCATATATATATATATATATATATATATATATATATATATATATATATATATATATATATATATATATATATATATATATATATATATATATATATATATATATATATTTATATATATATATATATAATAAGTACATGATGATCTAGGTATATGCTGATAACCACAAGGAAAGAAGAAAACACGAGTTCCCAAAGCGGCACCATTATGAAATTCACATCTTCAGGGTGAGTGCAGTGCAGTCTTATACACAAATATTATATATATATATATATATATATATATATATATATATATATATATATATATATATATATATATATATATATATATATATATATATATATATATATATATATATATATATACAGTATTACCCCGCTTTACGCGGTTTCATATATACGTGGTGCCTCGCCAGAACTGAACTTTCACTTTCCGCGGTTCATCTACCCATATACGCGCAGAGAGTCCGGCTGGACGCTATTTTTAGATTCGCCCCACCCGCCTGCTCCCGCCTCTGCTTGGGCAAGCCGCGCGGTAAGGTTGCGCAGTGCATGTCTGTTGCGTTATCACTGACGTCATATGACGTATTGGACTGTGATTGGCCATGCATCCCTACCCCCCTCTGCTGCTAGCTGTAATTGGTTTAAAGTAATATGACGTGTCCACCCGGGAAGGGAGGAAAGACGACGCTTGACCTAGCCTCAGCAGTTTCATCCCTCCAGGCCCCGTATGCCGACCCATCTCTTTTACTAACGTAAGTGTTACACCTAACTTTTAGTTTTCCTAACCTAACCTTTATTTTTCCTAACTTAACCTTTATTTTTCCTAACCTAACCTCTTCTATATTACTTGTTTGTGCATACCATCATAAAGTTAAGATAAAATTTTTACTACAACATAGTTGTGTCGTCAAAAAGTGGAGTTTGGGGGTCGGGCCAGTCTCTATTGGAATTAATCCCATATGTTCTGTTGTTCCATTTACGCGGATTTCACTTTCCGCGGTACCCTGTGGGTTCAATTGACCGTGTAAATTGGGGTACTACTGTATATATATATATATATATATATATATATATATATATATATATATATATATATATATATATATATATATATATATATATATAATATAATATAATATATATAATATAATATATATAATATA